CACCTCAGCCTCCCAAAGGCGCGGGATTACAGGCTGAGCCACCGAGCCCGGCTAGGAATTATTTTTAAAATGGATGAAAACCTAGCTTAGAGCAAGCTAAAAGTAGTTTCAAAAGTTAAACTTGGTTCAAGCTAAGATTGAGGCATTGAGCTACAGTTAGCTATGATGGTTCAAACTGAACATTATTAAAATTATACCTGTACACAGCTGGGCATGGTGGCTCACAGCTGTAATTCCAGCACTTTGGGAGGCTGAGGTGAGAGGATTGCCTGAGCCCACAGGTTTGTAATCCCAAAGGCACAGGATTACAGACTGGGCAACATGGCAAGACCTCGCCTCCACAATAAATTAAAAAAAGAAAAATAGTTGGATGTGGTGGTGCATGCCTGTAGTTCCAGCTACTTGGAAGACTGAGGTAGAAGGATTGCCTGAGTCCAGCAGGTCGAGGAAGCAGTGACCATGAGCGTGTCACCGCACTCCAGCCTGGGCAACAGAATGTGACTCCGATTCAAAAACAACAAACAAAATAACCACCCTGTACTCACTTATATTTTTACTCTAAAGATTCTTTTTTAATTTTTATTCTTTATCTAATTTTTTTTATTTTTTGAGTTGGAGTCTCACTCTGTCACCCAGACTGGAGTGCAGTGGCCGCTCCCGGCCACCGCAGCCTCGACCTGCTGGGCTCCGGCGATCCTTCAGCCTCAGCCTTCCGAGTAGCTGGAACCACAGGCATGCGCTACCACGCCCAGCTAAATTTTTGATTTATTGTAGAGATGAGGTCTCTCCAAGTTTCCCAGGCGGGTCTCGAACCCACGGGCTCAGGCAATCCACTCACCTCAGCCTCCCAAAGGCGCGGGATTACAGGCTGAGCCACCGAGCCCGGCTTTAATTTTTAAATTTATTTTAGAGACGAGGTCTCGCCATGTTATCCAGGCTGGTCTCGAACCCGTTTCAATCATCTGAAATTTCTACCACTTGACTTCCTCTGCCTTCTCTTAGGCTGATCTCTTCTTTCCTAGAGGGAACTGTATAATAGCTCTACTCTCTAAAGAAAAAGAATAAAAAAGATAGGAAGACAGACGATAGCAATAGGCAACAGGAACAAAATAAGTTTGAGGGCCGTGTGCAGTGACTGACGCCTATAGTCCCAGTTATTTGGGAAGTCAAGGTAGGAGGATTGCTTGAGCCCAGGAATTGGAGACCAGCCTGGGCAACATAGTGAGACCTTGTCTCTACAAAAAAATAAAAAAATTAGTCTGACATGATGGTATAAACCTGTAGTCCTAGCTACTTGGGAGGCTGAGGAGGAAGGATTGCCCGAGCCCAGGAGGTTGAAGCTGCAGCAAGCCGTGATCGTGCCACTACAGTCTAGTATTCTCAAAAATAGGCCAGGTGCGGTGGCTCACACCTGGAAATCCCAGCACTTTGGGAGACAGAGTCAGGAGAACTGCTTGAGGTCACGAGTTGGAGACCAGCCTGGGCAACAGACCAAGACCTCATCTCTACAATACATAAAAAAAAATTGGCCAGGCATGGTGGCGCATGCCTGTAGTCCCAGGTACTTGGGAGGCTGAGGCAGGAGGATCTCCTTAATCCAGGAGGTCGAGGCTGCAGTGACTCATGATTGTGCCACTGCACTCTAGTCTGCCTCCCCCAACCAAAGAGATTATACTTGTTGAGATAATAAAACAATTTGAAACCGGAACAAATCTGGCTCTTTCGATTCCCTTATGTTGCTGCTTCATTTCTCTGGGCTCAGGTGAAACAAAGACAGCTGTGCTTTAGGAAAAAAGCATTTGCTAGAAAAATATTGAGTCTGTTTCCTCATTTTGTAGCAGGGCTTCTGACAGCTGGTAAGAAACCTCTTTTTATTTTATTTATTTATTTATTTATTTATTTATTTATGAGTTGGAGTCTCACTCCGTCGCCCAGACTGGAGTGCAGTGGCCGCTCCCGGCCACCGC